GCCACTAACTTCTGAATCCTCCTAAGGTTGATGTGTCCAAGTCTAAGGTGCCAAAGATTTGCTTGATTCATCTGCAAAGACTCCTTCCTCTTATTAGATTTAGTCGTGACATTATTAAATTCAGTTTGTTGCAGTGTTGGAGAGTTTGCCAACTAATGAACTAGAACAAATGAAACGTTTCCCATAACGAATAACAAGCATGTCATCAAGCGTAAATAAAAAACCATCCATAACAAGTTTAGAAACTGAAACAAGATTCTTTCTAAAACTAAGAACATAAAGGCAATGTCTTAAAACCAAGCTACTACTATCAAAAGATAAAGTAGCGTCTCCCACTGCGACAGTTATCACTTTCCTAGCATCGCCCATGTAGACGGTGATCTCTCCCTCCCTAAGCCGTCAGGTTTCTTGGAACCCCTACAAAGAATTGCAGACATGATCAGTGGCTCCAGTATCTACACACCAGGTTCTGGTAGATACAACCGTTAAAAATGTTTCTACAACATTAACGATATAGTTACCTTTCTTGAGGAGAGGGTAGTCGACCTTCTAGTTTCCTAACTTGTTGCACTTGTAGCATCTACCTGTCGGCTTCTTTTCCACTGCCTAAGGGGCAAGTCGCGGAGCTACCAAAGCATTTTGTGCCTTTGCCTTTCCCGCAGACCTCTTTCTCTTCCTGTCCTTGTGAGGTCTGCAAGGTCCATCCTGCTCATGCTCCTTCGCAGGAATTTCACCTCCATGCACCCTCTGTCTCCATTACCTTGGCTCCTCTTACTTCCATCTGTTGGGTTTTATTAAGAACGTCGACAATGTGCACATTCAAATCTATTCAATAATAAATCCTAACGCAACAGAATCTATAGGTAGGATTAGGACTTACGGTTTAAAATTTTTGCCGACTCTGAGACGTTTCTGATTTCCATTAATGGAGATCGTTTGGACGCTAAAGTCTAATGGGCAGCTGGACTTAGCCTTTCTCGATTCTAATCGAGTCATCAAGGTGATCCAATCGCTCATCAATCTCATCGGATCATCTCGGACCTTTGGTAAGTGAGTTGGACTCCTCGGGCCACTCGGAAACCATCTCGGGCACAAATCAGGCTTACTGGGTTGGGCTAAACCGGGTCGAACTGGTTTGGACTGGGTCTGGTCGGGTCTGGGCCGATCTGGGCTGGTTCGGGTCGGGTATGGTTGTTGGGCTCGAGGACTAGTCTGCTGGTCGCGGGCTGCACGCACATAGGGTCGTGGACGCATGCTGCAGGGCGCTGGTGCAGGTGCGTGGGCGCACGGGTGCGGGGGATGGATG